TCTCTCTCTGTGTGCGACTTTCAAATCGCAAAGCGGGAATGAATCTTCCCGCGAAAGTGGGAAGATTCATTCCCGCTTTGCCTTTCGGAAGCCTTTCTACAGCAGGCAGCGGGAATGAACCATTTATTTCTCTTATTTCTTTGTTTTTTTTCTTTGTTTTCTTGCCATTTTTTTCGTCTGTCTCACATGGACATTCGGGATGCCTGCGCCCGGTAGTCTGAGCCTAGGCACGGGTCGGCGTACCGGTCGGCCGCGGCTCGGACTTGATAGCTGAGGGAGGTACTGGTGGTGTAACCCAAGAGCCTAGCTCAGTGGGTACACCCATGAACTATTGAAAATACAGACCCGTGTTCGAATCCAGGGCATTGGGCCCACTAGCGAAGGGGTTGTTTTATGCAGAGATAGATGATGCAAGTTGACGAGTAGAAGTTGTAAAAAAAAAAAAAAGAAAAAAGAAAGGAAAAAAAATAGAAATGGCATTATTTTTTTGCGGTTTTCGAGGCCATTGTTGTCCGCTTGCCAGTGGTGGGGGGTCCCTGAGAAGCCGTAATCATGGGGAAAAAAACTGACTTACAGGCCTCTTCCGACTTCATGTGGGGGTGGGGAAAGCCGCACGCGGTGTAGGCGACCAGCCGTGCTGTCCGGGTCACATTGTTTGCCCTGGCTGTCCGGTCGTGCAAGGACCATAGTAGTAGGTCCCAGCGCAAAAAAAAAAAAAAAAATCCAAAAACTTCCGATCGTTTTTTTTGTTTTTTTGACTGGGAAACAAGGCTCCAATCTATTAGTGGGGAGCAGCATGTGCTGGGAACAGGGCCCAGCGTCCCATATGGAAAATTACTTCTGATTGTTTTTTAATGTTATGCAGAGAAATAAGATGTCAGTGAAAACCTTTTGCCTCAGGCTCACAACGAAATTCTTCCCCAAATTTAAAAAAACAGGCCCGGTAGGGCACGTGGTCCTGCCCACTCTCGTAGTCTAAGGCTGTCTCTTATACACATCTAGATGTGTATAAGAGCCCTCTCGTAGTCTAAGGGGCTCGTTCGACACTCCTTGGGGCGTCCTCGGAGCCCGAGGAAAAATTCCTTTTAGTCAAAAGGAAATTTGGGCCCTTCGTTCCACCTGTCCTCGGGGACGTCGCCTGAGGACGTTTCCTTGGAGCTATGTCAGAAAAGAAAAAAAAAAAAAAAAAAAAAAGTGCTTAAGGCCTTCAGCCAATAGGGAGCCGCCACGATCCAGATTCTCGGTTGTAACATCTCTCTACGCGTGTGCCCGCTCCTCTCCGTGAAAAACGGATTCCTTTTGCCCAAGCGACCTCGTGAGGTCCCTTGGGCAAAAGGGAGAAATGGTTGGGGAATCCTCGGAGCCCGAGGAATTTCCTTCGGAGTGTTTTCACTTTTTTTTTCCGACTGCACCCCCGAGGATAAGTGGAACGAACAATTCCTCGGGGACTTCACGCGCCAGAGGAGTGTCGAACGAGCCCCTAAGAGCCTAGCCCGCAGTTTTCCTTGTTCTTCCCCTGTGGGATCCACCTCTTACTCTGCAGGCTGTCCACAGTGGGCCTCTCAAGTTCCTCTGAGAATAAGGGCCTCATTAGACACTCCTCAGGGACGCGACTCCAAGGATTTCGTCGTCGTTCCACCTGTCCTCGGAGTCGATTTTCTGAAAAAAAATGTGAAAACACTCCGAGGACAAGGGCTTCGAGGATTTCCCATGCAAATCGTCCTCGAGTCTAAAGGACCTCGCGAGGTCCTTTGGAGCCCGAGGATCCACGATTCAGGGCCTGACGGCGTCGACTCAAGAAGGAGAATTGAAGGGTGAAGGTGGTCCATTTGTGGTCCACCGGCCGGAAGACGGACATTACGGGCCGTCGTTGTCAACAACGTCCTGCAACGGCCTCCTCAGTTTACTGTTACCAGCAATTTGTGGGACGGCCCTGTCGGTTCTTCGGCCGGCCCTGTCGGTTCTTCGGCCGGCCCGTCAGCGGGGCCATGACGAGCATCGGGTGTCTTCGGCTGGCTGCTGGAGGGGTTTTGTCGTTCGGGCAGGCTCCCCAACGGTCGAATTATGAATTTTGTAGCCATCCACCCCTGGTCCCCCATTGCAGAAATCTGCTTTGTTGGCTTCTTCCTCCAGTACTGACGCATGCTCAGGGGAGCAATGCGCAGGGAGCCAAGGATCCACTATGTGATGAAAAGGACTGAAATGGACAATGCAAGATCAGCGCAGCATCAACAAGCAATGTACATTCTGATACATACAAGATGGCGCAAATGGTGCGGCGGAAGACTTTAAAGAGAAGATCTGATTTGATCTGGACTGACCCGACATCCATCACACATCACACATGAGAGAGAGAGGAGGGACCGCAATCATGGAAGAAAGGTCCCTCCTTCGTACACACACATGGGGAGAAACCACGGATGAGAGATGGGGGAGAGAGATAGACGAAGGAGGGAGGAGGCGAAAGAGTAGAAGGGTCGCTAGTCATTGCTGCTGCGACCACGACCACTTTCGGCCGATGCTGATGCGCGCCTTGGCCGGCATTTGACGAATGGCCCGTATTCCGAGCTGCCAAGTTCGTCACAATGATCTGCGCGGCCTTGTTAAAAAGTTCCTCGCTTGTAGTGAGGGTGTCAGCGACATGAGTCAACGCATTCTGCAAAGCCGGCCACGACCTCTTGATGAAGAAAAGCTTGATGCTGTCGAAATTCAGTGGCAGCTTGGGCGTGTGACGAACTACTTCCCGACCCCGTGCTATCTTCCGTACCCCTTTGGCTTAAATCTTTCCCTTGTATCATACTAACCCAACAAAGCCCCCGTCCGTTTTCTTGATTTCGGGTGCCGTGTTTGGGGCCCCAATTTTTCAGAAGTCCTATTGATTCTTGGAATTCTGCCTTTTGTAATTCGGGAAATGCACGGAAAATTGTGTGCGCACCAGCAATCGGCCCCGGCAGTTAGGAAGTCTGGAATAAAAGGAATTCGACGTGTCCTTTTTGCGCATGAATGTTCTCGGTCCCGTCGGAGAAAATTCTAGGAATTTTGTGAGAATACGAACAGGCATAG